CACAATGGTGAGAGGTTAGCATCTCCACACAATGGTGAGAGGTTAGCATCTCCTCACAATGATGAATTAGCATCTGGTACCACCCTGCCTGTGTATTTCAGGCCAATGTGTGGATGTATGGTATGTGGAGTATGAGAAGGCATTTTCCAGATCTAAAGGAGCTCTAGTAACACAGTGGTGATGAGTCGGGCTTCTAACCTCAAGGTTAGCAGTTCAAAACTATCAGATGCTCCACAGGAAAACAGATGACACTTTCTGCTCCTGTAAAGAGTTACAGCCTTGGAAACCCTATGCAGGCTTATTATGAGTTGGAACCAACTCCTCGGTACACTACCACCACCAAAATAGAATCTAGAGTACTACTAACTAGTGTGGTGCGAAGGATGCCTGCTGAGGCACTGGAGTACCCATCACAAGACTGATGGTTCAAACCAATCAGCCACTCCTTGGAAACCCTGTCAGCATCTCCGAGTTAGAACTGACTCAATGACACTCAGGAACAAGTGTGGCACTGTAGGAGAAGCACGGGACTGCTAATCCAACGTCGGCAGTTCAAACTACCAGCTACTCTTGGAGACCCTATACAAGGTGGTTATTACTCAGAACCGACTCCATGGTACACAAACAACAAAACAGAATATGTTCTCCCTGGCAGAGCTGTGCAATGGGGAGAAGAAGGAGTCACTGCCGACTTACAACCGAGCGGCACATAGTGGAGAGGGGGTGGGGGGCATGGTTGTAGGTGCCGTTGAGTGGATTCTCTGTAGCATCTACGGCAGTAATTCTTTACGGAAGCAGAAAGCCTCCTCTTTCTTCCACAGAGCGGCTGGTGGGTTTGAACTGCCGACACAGTGGTTAGCAGTCTAGTTTTTATCCTGTTAGCACCACCAGTATTGCAAAGTAAGAATTAGAGCCGGGTTTGTCCATTTCTCAGGACATTTAACCAACTGGAAATAGATTGTGGTCTTCAAAAAACCCATAAATGAATGGCTACGAAGACCCTGGCTGCTTGTACCTAGACAATATTCCAGCAGAACTCAAGCTATGCAGAATTAAACTGCGTAACTTCGAATGTAATGGTGCCACGGCAGGGGCAGGAAAGACACACTTAGTGAAGCTTACCTACAGCTCGTAGAAGAGTCTTTTAGACAAAACCATTCAAATATGGGCTGTGCCCAACCTCACAAAACACCCCTTCATGGCATCAAGCTCTCATTTATTCAGATGAAAGCTATTTTCTTATGACAGAAGTTGGAACCGTATTGGATGATGTATTATCAAGTTATGAACATTATAAAAATATTAGAAAACCAGAATCAATGCTCAGCTTGGTGGGCAGATCCAACACATAACGGTGTCATGGGGCAGGGAGACTGTAGACAGTGCAGTTGGGGCAAACAGTGAAGACAACTTGTTACTTTTGTGGAATAGGCCAACTTTTAGAAAGCCGATTATGGTAGAGTGCGCCTTGTTGAGCTGAGGATGGGCTTTGGGGTTTGACAGAGCAGTGGCAGCTTCCCGCTGAGCAACAGTATGTTTTAAACCCAAAAGCCAAGCACTGTGGGCCGCCCTGATCACCCTTCTAATGAACCACAGTCATTTACACTGCAGGGTGAAGTGGGTACCAGGCCCACAGGAGGCGCACAATTAAACCTGAAAGCCAGCACTGTGGGCCGCCCTGATCACCCTTCTAATGAACCACAGTCTTTATTTACACTGCAGGGTGAAGCGGTACCAGGCCCACAGGAGGCGCACAATTAAAGGCAGCTCTTCCCAGTATTAAAGTGCCTTGGTGGCATGGGGGGTTAAGCACTGAGCTGCTAACCTTAAGGCCTGAAGGTTCAAACCCACCAGCTGCTCCACAGGAGAAAGATGAGGCTGTCTGTTCCCTAGGGAGCAGGTCTACTCTGCTAGTCAGAACCAACTCGACTGCCGTGGGGCTTTATTCTAGACAGTAGCACTGTGCAGCCGCTTTGAAAAGGTGTTTTAACAAAACATTACCAGTTGGGGATCTCAGTTTTCACCAGCAAGTATAACAGGACTGAGAGTAGGTCATCAGCACACATGGTCTCCAAGTTAACTGAAAAGGAGAGAAGAACGGATTCAGAGGCCGCCGTGAGACTCGAAACGAGCCAACAAGCAGAGCAGAGCACTCAAACCCACAGAAGCCCACTGCAGATACATGACACATTCAAGAGGAATGTGGCTGCATGCTTATGTGTCTGACGCTTCTAGAAGTCAGATTCAAGGTAGGCAAGAATCCTAGCATATCCAATCCAAGAGGAATGTGCCTGCATGCTTGTGTGTCTGGTTTAGAAGTCAGATTTAAGGTAAGCAAGAATCCTAGCATTTGCAGAGCGCTATCCCCTTCATGGAAAGGAGAGGTGAGGAATTGGGGGAGTCAGTGAGGGTGGACAAAAATGAGGATGTGCCCACAGCTTTCCCTGAGAACCGCTCTTTCTGAGGTGATTTCTAGCTTACAAACTGTGGAGCTACTGTTCGCATTCTGAAATTCTGTTTCAGTCATGCAAGCGCACATTTATGTTTAAATGTGAACAGGTGTGAACCCTGAACGTCCTCTTACCCAGAGTCCACCGCGCCGGCTTCTTGCATATCCCGCCAGCGACAGCCTACGCATTCACCATAGCATGTGTAGAGATATAGCCCCTGCCCCTTTTTTACGCTGTCAGTTACCATGTTTGAGGGGGCTTCCCAAATTTTGTGTGTGCGGGGAGAAATTGGAATTTAAGAGATAGGATTAACACTTTACTTCATGAAGGGGCTTCAAACCGTGAGGGGAAATTCATTAGTTCTTCATTCTTCATTTCTGAAGCCCCTTCATCTCTACACATATAGACATGCCTCTTCCTTATTACTTATTTTGCCCCAATATAAACATACTGTTTATAAAAGAGCAATCTGAATGTATTAGCGATTAGGGACAAGAACATAGCAAACAATTGAACCACAAACATATCACCAGTCTGACTCATTGTTAAAGTCCCTGCCACCACTTTCTTACCATGATCATGCCTGACCTGCCTGCCCACCCACGACTAGGCACCCCCCTTTAGTCACAGCAGACTCTTCCAGGTGGCACGGCTCCTTGACAAGCTTTCCAGCTGGAGGGCGCGCGCACGCACACGCACACACACACACATGCACAGGCGCGCGCACACACAAACACCGCACTAGCCAGCCCTCCCCTCGACACACACCTCTCTGGCTGGGAGACTGTGTGATCAGCAGCATCGTCTTCCGCAAACAAATCAGTTTCTGTTGCGGCGACGTGCATTTGTTCAGTTGGGCCAGTTCTCTCTTGGCACGAGATATGTTGAAGCTGTAAAGAGAACGTGACAAAGGGCACAGTCTAATGACCACAGTGTGAGGGCCCTTCTTCCTCGATGTGACGCCGTCTCTCATGTTATCACGCTCTCATAAGAAACCACAAGAAATAATATGCCAAGACAGACAAAATTCATCTGACTTGATCAAGTCAGTAGCACAACACAGGCCCCATTCAAGGCTCTCAGGTTATACAGTTGCACCAGAAATTTGGGGTGGGCGGGAAGGAACCCTTAGTTCTAGAGGAAAACAAGTACAAAAGAAGCAGGGGGAATCTATAGGCTGAAACCATTCAGAGTTTGATACCCTGGTGAAACGTCAAATGAACAGAGGCAGGTACTGCTGTGGCTGGGCAGGTGAGGCAGGTGCTCCACACGACAGGCAGGTGAGGAGCCGCTGTCCACTTGCAGAACCCACCCGAGTGACTCTGGACCCACCCGCTGTACATAACCCATCCTCTTTAGTTCATGTCTAGCAGACACGTACACACACAGGTGCCAGAAGGTGACATCTGGCTACAAATCCGTCTCCTCTCAACTCCAGCTTTTCAGTTTTGGTTAGAAGTTAACAGGACGGTTCCCCCCAGTCCTAACAGGGGACACAGGCAATCCCTGCCCCCACCCCCAGGAGGCTGGCCTGCTGCAATGCAAACTCTTACCTGAACTCAGGTTTCACGCCGATATCTTTCTGCTGAAGATCTTGAAGGCTTCTTGTGATTTTGTTAAAGGCAGCATCCTGACAACAGATTTTTAACGAGGCTTCAAATGTCTTAAAAAACCACAGAAGGAGGCAGTCTGCCGTCCCCAGGGGAAGATGATGGAGAACTGACCTCACTAGCCTCCACGGTGCCCACATACTTAAAGATCAGATCATAAATGTCGTGATGGACGTACATCTGTGAAAACAATGGGCCCGAGTCAGGGTGCGCGCCGGCCTACCAGGAGATAGTCTCCCAGCCACTGCCACCCTGGACTCTGACTCTCTCGCTACCTTCCTCAGCCTCTTACCTCAACTGCCTGCTTCATCAGGTTCATCTGGGCCTCTTGCTTGGCCAGCATTTTCTAGGACAAGAGGAGGACTGTTAAAGAGCTTGAATTTGCATGGGGGCAAAGGGCAAGGCTCCGTTTCATACATCCTACCCGGCAGCTTACCAGGCGAGAGTCCCTCAGGAGCTGCTGGAGGCATTTGGTATAGAGAGCATTCACCAAGTCCTGCAGGACAGGGACAGAGACAGAGCCGGCGGTCACTTCACAACTGGAGGCCAGAAAATACATTCCAACAAGGGCACTTCCGGGGGTGGGGAGACATGCTCGGAGCACTAAGGCAAGTTTATCAACTCAATCCCCATCCCCATTTAAAAAAAAATCTGAAGTTTTGTTTTTTCAACTTTCTTGTGGTGGGAAATTATTTCCCTTGGGGTTAACAAAGGTGACGGTAGTAACCGTCTTTATGACAAATGCTTGTGATTTTCAAGTTTTCTCTGGTAGCTTTTAAGACTTTCATCATTAGAATGAGGATAAGCATTGGACTGTGAGGTTAGGTTGAACCCTACAAGGTTGCTCCTCAGAAACCCTATAGAGGGTCATTATGACTCAATGGCACTTAACATAATTAAAATGAAATATTTAAAGCAAATGTCCAATAATGGAAGCAGCCACCAAATTTCAGAGTAAACCGCACAGGCTCCTTAGTGCCCTGAACCAGCCAACGCGCCAAGCACAGCACGACATAGCAACTGACTATGTGGTGGCGGAGGCTCTTCCTTTCACACTCTCGGAACGTTCGGTGGAAAGAAGCGATGATCCGGTCAAATCTTTCCGAGTGTCTCCCCAGAAAGTCTCTCACATCTTCAATGGTTTTCAGAGAAAAAGGATCGACCGGTGTTGACGGCTCTTCTGAAAGAGACACGGTAATAATACTGGCTGAAGACTTCACTGTTTGCTGAGGCCCCAACCAAGACCAGATGCACCCACAGTTCCAGCGTAACAGGAGGGTTGTCCTTATGTCAAGAGACTGCCCAGGAGCAGCCTGGTCCCAGGACAAGATGGGATCTCAGGAACCCAGTCCTCTTAAGTTATTTCCCTAGAACAAAATCAGAACTACTGGTGTGGCGCTTTGAGTTAACGCACTGGACTGCAGAATCGGTTTGAATGTAGGGTCGGCAGTTCAAGCTCACCAGCTGCTCCTCGCAAACCCTATACAGGGTTGCTATGGGTCAGAACCGATGACATTTAACAATTGAGATTACAAGTCTGACCTGTGAGGCCCAGGTGAAGGAGCCCCCATTCCTGACAATAAAACTGACACCAAGAGTCAGAAAAAGCGCTGGGCACCATCAGGCCTCATGGCCACCTCCTGGAGTGACAGGAAAATGGTGACTCATTAAAAACAACCAGCTCTCAAGTCAGGGCCAACAACCCGGCTATCGAACAAGCCCTGAAGCTGAGACCCAGAGACAAAGGCAGGGCTGCAGCCAGGCCGAACCCCAGAGGTGCCATCGCTGGTCCCTGGGCTTGTGCAGTACACGGCCCACTCAACACCACCTCAGCTCAGGATGGCTTCCTGGTGACGCTTTACGGAAAAGTCACTGTCACAGGCGTGCAAAATTTGAGCGTCCTGGTGGATATTTTAAGGAGCCCCTGGTGATGTCGTGGCTTAAACATTAGGCAGTTAACCTCAAGGTCAGTGGTTCAAATCCACCAGTCACCTGAACCGGCCAATGCGCCAAGCACAGCATGACATAGCAACTGACTGCTAAGTCTCCGAGGGAGACTGCTAAGGCTGGCTAATCCCATAAAGATTTAGCCTTGGACTCTTTAAGGAGTTTTAGGGTAAGCACTGGAGTGTGAACCATAAGGTCGGCAGTTCAAATCCACCATCTGCTCCTTGGAAACCCGATGCAGGATTGCTGTGAGTCGGAAGTGACTTGACAGCATTTTAACAACATAGGCTCTTTACCTTCGCGATGACAATGGGTTTGGATTTCTGGTTTGGGATATTTTATGGTATGTTTGCAACAGCGGCATCCAGAAAGGGAGAAGAAGTTCAACAAACTGCCCCCAGATACCTGAGCTCTCTCTCTTTTCCAAGGGATGAGCTATACACAGGATGCTGAAACTCTCTTCTTTCTCATTGTAGAAGGTTTCTTCAAAGAGAATGGGCACCGAGAGAAGACAGGCAAAGCCAGCTCCAAGTTTAATCCTGTTTCCTTGTATACCAACGTCCTGGAACAAGAAAGTCACCATCTGCACCATCAGCCCCTCCCGGCCCAGGCTCCACAGCACTCAGCCAGGCCCTGTCTCACCTTTCCCCACCTGGCCCTACACTGCCTGATACTGAAGTGTCATTGTCTTTCCTCTCAGTTCGCCTGGTAGCTGTGGCTACATGTACCGTACCCGGCCCATCCTTCGATGATACTGCAGTTTCTAAGAGTAGAAACAATCCTACCCCCTTCTAGGAAAAGGTTAAGAAGCTTCTCCTACGTGCATAGAGATTAACACTATGCTCCACTGAAGAATGTGCCCTACAGAGCAGGGTACCCTGAAGAAAGCAAAGACACTAACAAGTGACGGACAGCTCTGATGAGCAGATCTGTGGGAGTCCTCTCCCGATCACAGCACCCAGAAGCCTCAGCTACAGTGAGCCCTGCGTCACTGAGAAGGGCAGCGTAGACTTACCCCACTGACGGGTTGTGGGTAACGAGGGGAGCCGAGCTAGCACTGACTGGAATGAAGGCCCCCTCACAGAACCTACCTGTTTCCACTTTTAGAAAAACGGCATGCTCTGATGCTAACCATGATAAGGTCACTGCAGGCGGCTGCATGCAGAGAAAAGGAAATCCTACTCCTGGGGCACTCCTACCCAAAATGCCTCATTGCACTCAGATCAAACCCACACTAAGGGATACTCTACAGAACAGAACAAGAAGTCAACGTCCCCAACGACAGAAACACTGAGGAGCGGCTCTAGATTAAAGGGTACTAAAAGTAGCAATTATATAACCCTGGATCTGAAAAAGAAAATACACATACATACACACACACACATTTTTTTGTCTATAAATTTGAAAATGTGTATAGAAGGGGTGGCTATATTTTAAATAACAGTATCTTATCAATGCTACTTCATTCATAGCCCCTCTGGTAGTCTCAAACTGCTGGCCTTGAGATTCGCAGCCTGACTTGCAACCACTATGCTACCAGGAGTGCTGGTGTGGTGCTGTGGGTTAATGCACCCACCTGCAAAGCTGTTTGAACTGCAAGGTCGGCAGTTCAAGCTTACCAGCCACTCCTTGGAAACCCTATACAGGGTCGCTATGGGTCAGAATTGACTCGATGGCACTTCACAACACCAATATATTTTCTGAATATGACCACTGCACTGTGGTTTTATAAGACAATGCTTATTCCCTTGACTACTGACATTTTCATCCGAATAAATAAGGGACTGTTCCCAAATGTAAAAAAATAATAAAGAGAATGCTTTCTCTTAGGAAATACACACTGAATTATTTAGGGGTAAAGACACAATGTCTACAACCTATTCTCAAAAGATTCAGACAAGACTTTTAATATCTGGACATATAGAGAGAAGGTGGTAACATTTTTTGCCATGATCTGTTTTAACGGCTGGCCAATCTCCAGGAGAGGCACAGCCATTGGTCTTTGCACTTTACTGCAAAACTTTCTGTAGGTTCAAAATTATTTCAAAATAGACACTCTTTAAAGAACTAAAACTTCACAGTGCGTGTTCAATTTATGATTGGGATGAAAATGGCTTAATGTGACAGAGGCCTCATTCAGAAGATTTCCAGGAGCTCACGGGCAGACACCCCATCCTGAGGGAGGAGAACCCGGCCCCTCCTCACCCTCCAAGGCAGAAGCCAAGCCCCCTTACTATTACCAGCTCCTCTGTCCTCACAGGATCCCTTCACAAATGCAGAGGGTCTCTCCAGCCCCATCTGAAGGGTTGTGTGTCAAAACCCATCATTTCACTTAGGTGTAAAAGGCCAAGAAGCAGGGTCCTCTTCCCATCCCCCCAGACACATGAGTGGACGCTGGTTAACCCAGGAAGCAAGGAATACCTTTCCATCTAAGGTCCGGAAATGTTCTCCCACTGGTAGCAAAACGTAGGACTCAAACTGGCAAGCAGACTGAATTTTGCCTGACAGGCTTCCTCTGCAAGGTACCAAGACCTGGAAGAAAGAGTGAGGAAGAAGAGGAGGAGGATGAACCCTCGAGAGATGGGTCATTTACAACTTCAGCAGAACAGGATGTGATGTAGCCACAGACACTCCAGCTAGAACTGTTTTGGGGGGATAACTGACTGAGATGACCCACGCCCCACCTCACTTCCCCCAGACAAAATGTACTTGCTTCCACTTTAAAAGCTGGATGCCCTGGTATGGCACTGTGGGATAAGCACTGTACTGTAATGTGAGTGGTTCAAACCCACCAGTTTAAAAAATAAACCCAAAAATATGCGGGGGCATCAAAAGTCTGAGAAAAAAAAAAATGGAATTAAAGTTAACGGAATTTTCCCAAACTTTTGAAGTCCTCTTGTATGTATAGGCTTGACAGAGGATATATCTGCCTTTGTGTTTATATGTGTTGCAAATATATCCATGAACGTAGTAGAACGCACAGAAAACTTCTTAGCTTATAAACCAACACCTTGAGAGGATGAGTCACTGGGGACTCAGGACCGTAGTCTGGTTGGGGGTGGGTGGGAAATTAAGGACAACTGGCACATCACAGTTCACAAAACCAATGTTCTACATCCTGCTTTAGTGAACAGTAACCGGAGTCTTCATAGCTTGTGAAGAGCCACCTGAGGTACAACTGTCCACGGGTCCCTCACCATCTGGAGCAAAGAAGAGTGAAGAAAATCCAAGATGCAAAGAAGCAACTAGTCCAGAGAACTAATGGGCCGTGTGAAGCCCAGTCTCCATGACCCTGATGGTGCCCAGTTACCACTCTGATCAGAATCGCAGTAGGAGGTCCTGAGCAGAGAGTGTTTGTGTCGGGTCGGAGATGTGAGGCAAAACCCAATCACACAAAAGACCAGGTTTACTGGCCTGACAGAGACTATGGCCCTTTGTCAAGCCTGGATTTGAACTCACCCCTGTGGCTCTCAACTCTCAGCCAAATGACAGACAGACTTGTAAAGTGACTAGTTAACACCATAATACCAAGGAAGTACACACTCCTTAGAACAGTCACCCAACCATAGATCAAAGGGCCAGCATTTGCTTTAGCCCTATAAAGCTCAACAGGCAGGAAGGGTCACAAAAGAAGGACGAAAGATAATAGTAAGCATGGGGAGGAAGTGGGAAGAGTGCTGTTTATATTGTGGGGATTGTAATCAATATCATAAAACAAAATGTGCATGAATTATTGAATGGAAAACCAATTTGCACTGTAAACGTTCACTTCAACCACCATAAAAAAAAAAGAACAAAAATATGACTCATCAATACGCTATCTATAAAAGATACACTTAAGACTCAAAGACAAAAATAAGCTAACAATCAAAGGATGGGTGAGGGGGGGTCATCAAGCAAATGGCAACCAAAAAAAAAAAAAGTAGAAATATTAATTTCTGATAAAATCATATTAAACACAAGAATCAGCATAAATGTCAAGGAAGGAAGGACATTGTAAAATGATCAAACAAGAGGACAATCCAACAAGAAAATATAACAATTTAAAAAAGACAAAACTCTAGTTGTGATCATAATCTTATAAGGAAACGATGTGCTGTGGATTGAATTACGTACCCCCAAAACATACATAGTAATTCTAATTTCCAACTCCTACACCTGTGGTATCATCTGAGAATGGGTTGTCTCTGTTAGTAAGAAGGCATTAGTATAGGGGGTATACCATACAAGAGATTAAACACACGCCAGCCAACTGAGATAGAGAAAGAGAGATGCTAAGCCACTTGAAAATGTCCAAGAGCAGAAGCTAAGGGACAAGGATCTTCTTCCAGCCCTTCCGTACAGTCCCATTCAATACCTAGATTTCGTCTCCTAAACTTAGAGAAACAAAACTTGTTTGTTACAGCTATCCATGTGTATTTCTGTTAAAGCCAGCACTAGATATAACTAAGGCAGAAACCACAAGGGGCTATAGAAACAGTTTCCTATCGCAGGCTGCCACCCACACCAGAGATGTCTCAGGCAGCCAGGCTCTCTCTGGGGTAGGTTCAATCTAAAATGTGCAACGATGACAGGCTGTGGTCACTACGCTGACCAGGTAGCAGCAAGGCTATGGGACAACACAGCAATGGGACAGAGCTCCATCTTCAGTGCTGCTCTCTGCCTGCCCTGGTTGCCACATCCCTGGGATGGTTAAGGTTGTGCATCACCATGGCTGGGCCATGATACTCAGTGGTTTGGAAGTTAAGACATAGCTATTCCTCATGATGAGATCGGCTATAAACAGATCAACTAACAAGTTTCCTGGAGGGTTTGGGCCGCTTCCAGTATATATGGATTCTCTGGCAAAACTCACTCGGCTCTTTGCTGATCTGGATTCTGCAGCTGGCTAGTCATCATCTTACCACTGGTTCCTTGGACTGGAGCCAGTGGCCTCTGCAGCCTGTTAGTCAGCAGCCTGCCATCTGAAATGCTGATTGTGGGTTTATCAAGCCTCAGCCCCTGCAACTATGAGAGTCAGGCGAAACCT